TTATATGAACAATTTTCGGAAGATATCTTCTCTCAATTTGAAGATATAAATTCATATGAAAATTTTTGCACAATATAAATAGAACTGCATTCTACTGCATCCCCAAATTTAAAATAAAAAACCCAACTTCCAGAGGAAAATACTGGTGGGATTTAAAATGTGAGGAAGCAGTCAGAAGAAGACGGGAAAGTTTTTGTATATTCAAAGATAATCCAAACCAAGAAAACCTACTCAAGTATAAAAAAGATGATGCCCACTCGAAGAAGATCACTAAACAAGCTAATAGAAATAGCTGGAGAGATTATGTCAAGTCCTTAAATAGATCGGTTCCCATTAAAGATGTATGGTCAAAAGTTAATAGAGTAAAAAATAGAAAAACTAAGAACAAAGTCCCTATAATATTGTCGGAAGCTTCATGGATAGACGAGTTCCAGCAAAATATCACTCCACTGTCTGCAGAATTAGTAATTCCTGATCTACAAATGAATGCGCAATACGATTAGCCAGAACAAATCAGCTTCTTAATCAAACCATTTTCTGACACTGAACTTTATTTTTCGTTAAAGAAAAACTCAAATTCAGCACCAGGTGCTGATGATATCCATTACTCGATGCTATCAAATCTTTCAAAAATTGGTAAGACTGTGCTTCTGAATATATACAATGAAATTTGGTCACGACGCATAAAGATTCCTGACGATTGGCACGTTTATAGTATTCTTCCGATCTTGAAACCCGGAAAACCGTTAAATAATTGGGATTCTTACCGTCCAATAGGGCTGGCTTCATGTATACTTAAAACATATGAAAGACTTATTAAAAACTATCTGGAATTTTGGTTAGAAAACAACGACCTATTACCAAAAACTCAGCTAGGTTTTAGAAAAGGTAAATCCACACAAGAAAGCCTGAGTCACTTACTGATAGACATTTATGGTTCCTTTACTTGTAAGAAAGCAGTTAGTGCTTTGTTTTTAGATATAAAAGGGGCTTATGACAATGTTAATCTCCACCTTCTATATGCGAAAATGTTGGAAATAGGAATACCTGAAACTGTAACATGGAATATCATTAATTTGTATATTAATCGATCAGTACACGTTAGATTAAATGGTGATAAATCGAACACACGGTACACATCTTTGGGACTACCACAAGGTAGCATCTTAAGTCCTCTATTATATATTCTGTATACTGTTGATTTAGAAAATAAACTTCCTCAACATATAAAAATCTTACAGTATGCTGATGATTTTGCAATCTATATAGAAAATAAGTCAATTGATAAATGTAATGAGAACCTTCAATCAGGATTGAATATTATAAAAAAATGGCGGCGGATAAGAATTTAACAATCTCGGAGAGTAAATCAACCATTGTTACTTTTACCAGAAAACGTTATTCTCCTCCAAACCACCTACAATTTGATAATTATAAAATTCATTATAAAACTTCAATAAAATTTCTTGGCGTGTTCTTAGACTCAAAATTAAATTGGAAAGAACACACAGATTATATATTAAGAAGAAAGGAAAACGCAATGAACATCATCAAGACTGTAAATGTCAGTAACTGGGGAGCTGATCCAAACATCTCAATATTACTGTACAGGAATTTAATGAGATCGATCCTAGATTACGGATCTATATTTTATGGCTCAGCATCAAACGCTGTACTCCAAAAAATCGAAAGTATAAAAAATAAGGCACTTAGATTAAGCACTGGTTATCTTCGTAGTACTCCCATATTGGTCATGGAATGTGAGCTTAATGAACCTCCACTTTCATTACGCAGAGAATTCTTAAGTGAAAAATTTATAGTTAAAGTGGCAGTTAACAATAAACTGTTGTAGAATAAAATTGTACAATTAACCACTACATACCTAACTCATCATTACTGGGAAAAAAAGAAGCAGCTTTTAGTTGTGGAAAGTTTTCTCAACGTTTCTAGTTATATTGACGACATATGCAAAATGGAACAACCCTCATCTCGAAAATTAAACTATGAAGATTATTTATCTCCATTTAACTGCCATTTAAGTAATATTCTTGCCACAGATTTTCTTACTAAAAGAGATCACCTTCAGTATGTAGAAAGTCATTGGGGCAGTTATCAAAAATTATATACAGATGGTTCAAAAATGGACGGCAAAGTTGGATATGCTATACTCTACCTCCAAAAAGTATAAAGATAAACAACAGATTACCCGACAAAATGACAACTTTCACAGCTGAACTCATAGCAGTCAAAGAAGCCTACAAAATATGTATGAATCAAAAAGAACTAAACTATGTTATATTTACAGACTGCCAAAGCATTGTACATAAACTGAAATATAATTTACATACTTTTGTAGAAAATTATATCATCAGTGACATTATAGCACTGAACAGTGAAGCTTTGAAATCGGGCAAAAATATCATATTGTGCTGGATAAAAGCACATATTGGTATAAAAAATAACGAAATAGTAGATGATCTGGCTAAAAAAGCAACAATGAAAGAATCCACTCTTCAAACCTATCAACTTCCTATAGGAGATTTAATATCTGTAATCAGGTCTTTCAAACGGACAAAATGGCAGAGACACTACAACAATTCAGACAAAGGCAAATTTTATAAAATAATCCAACCCAAAATTTCCGTCAAGACATGGTTTAAACAAGTTTCCAACAGAGACTTCAGCAAAACTATTTGTAGAATAAGAAGCAATCATTGTATGACTCCAGTCTACAAAAGAAAATGGGACTGGCAAATAATAATGAATGTATATGTGGAGAGCTAGCTGATCTACAACATATGCTGTTAGAATGTCCTTTACATTTTATTGAAATATCAAATTTTTTTACCAAGCTAGTTCAAGTTAATGTTCAATTACCTTCTAATCTAACACATCTTTTAGAGTCAAAGAATCTAGATGTATATAAAATTTTGTATAGTCATATTAATTGTTTAAAATTAAAGCTCTGATAAAAAAATAATAAAGAATAAAAAAAATGAAGAACAAAATAAAAAAAATACTAAGAAGATCTAAACTTCCGAGGTGTCGAATCGGGTTTATGTCTTAGCGTAGTAATAAAAAAATAAATAAAAAAATAAATAAAAAAAAATTAAAAAAAAATAAATAAAAAAAAGATACAAAAAACAAAACAGCAAAAACAGAGTAATCTAGTAAATAAGTTTCTAAAATTCCATGTCTTAACTATCAATACAATACAATAGTTTTAAATGTAAATACTAACAATATCTTTTGTAAAGAGAGAACTTGAAACAAATTGACTGGCTTTGGTTGTCAAAACTGAGTTGGTTGTCAAAACCAGTGCCAATAAAACACACACACACACACTCACACACACATATTTTGTTTATTTCTGTATCTTTTTTAATATCTCTTATCCCAACTTTACTTATTTCATACGTTGGACCCATTCTTGGTTCCAAAAGCTAGTTTCGAACCCACGACTCACTCTCCACCAACCATCTGGCTGCCGTCCGCAGTGTCTCCATTGGTGACCTTTCTAGCACCATCCAAAAAAGGTTTCCGAGGTTACATGCTAATTGATGAAGAATACTTTAAATCGGAAATTTTCTTTACCCTTTTCCAAACTTCGCTCATTGAAGTAGAACTGTTTATTTCTGAGACGTATTTTGACCATCAGGCTTTTTTTGAGTTTTTTTATGAATAATTGGGCTCTAGCTTTTAACCGTTTGAATTCTATTTTACTTTCTTGGGTTTTGTGCCGTTTAAACTTATTAAGAGCTTTTTTAATTTGCCGTATCGCTTCTTCGCAATCCTTATTCCACCATGGTACTGGATGATGATTGTGAATCTTTTCGGTTTTTTGAATGTAGAGTTCTGCACTTCAGTATCAACTCATTAAAATTGGTGATTGTTCTATCGATATCACCGTAATTTATTTCACAGCTCTCTACGGAATTATCAATATATGTTGAAAAGCTCACCCAATGAGCCTTTTCTGTTTTCCATTTTAAGGCAAAGGTGTCTTTTGGTTCCGGTATGGTGTTAGTATTGCAGATTTTTATGGGGTAATGGTCGCTGCTGTAGGTAAACGACAGCACTTCCCAGGATAAGCAAGAAGTTAAAATTGGATCACAGAGACTTAGGTCAATTGCCGAGGATTCTCCTGATGCTGAGTTGAACCTCGTGGGGGTTCCATCATTAAGAAAATTTAAATTAACGTTATGTATTAGGTTTTCTATTATTCTTCCCATCGTATTTGTGTTAGAAGATCCCCATATTATATTGTGTCCATTAAAGTCACCGACGACTATACGTGGTGTTGGAATTTTGTGCAAGAGGTGCAGTATATCTGCATAATTTATCTGTGAGTTGGGAGGAATGTAGATATTACATAGATAAAATGACATTAAGGAATCAATTTTGATGACTACGGCTTATAAATTGCTTACTACGGGAAATCAATTTGCATTGAAAGATTTTTTTACTAATGTCATACCACCACTGGCATGGTTTAAAAGCATCCTGTCTTTACGGAAGCATAAGTATTGTTTAGGATTGGATTTCTGTTGGGGTTTTAAATTAGTCTCTTGTAGGCAGATTATGTCTGGACAGTTTTCGGCAATGATAATCTGTAGCATAGCCAAGCGATGGAAAAATCCATCGACATTCCATTGTATGATCGAGTTGAATGTAAGAAATGAAAAATTTAAATAAGAACAAAAATTAAAACTAAACGATAGCTGCTAATAAGTGCTGGTTTGTGATGCATCACTTTCTAATTCAGAGCCCGCCTCTCCAAGATAAGCAAATATTTTTTTGTTTAAAAGTTGACCTTTCTTTTAAATAGGGACGGATTTGTTTTAACATGTGAGAGATACCTTGCAAATCAGATCTGAAATCCTTGATCGAGATTATGAGACTAGATAAGCCGGCAGTGTTATCTAGTAGGAGGGCTAATTGTTCACTGTTCAGTAGAAATGGTGGTTCGTGATTATTAATGAAGGTTTTAGCTGGTTCTATCATGGATGAAAAGGATAAATCCGAATGCATTTCTTCAAGTTTAGTTTTCTTTGGCTTTTTAGAGTTCCTGTGGATTTTGGTGTTACAAATGGGCTTTCTTGAGGTGCAGTGTTAGTTTCTCGAGAGATGACTTCATTTATAGAGCGTTTTGAATGCGTTTCTTTATTTCCTATTTCTTCTGTATTTACATTAGGTAATTCTGACTCGGTATGTTGTAAAAGGGTATTTTGGTGTGATAATGGAGGTAGAGTTTGGTTAGACAGCGACATTGATGGTTGTGTTTCTGTTACAGTTTGTGCAGTCAAATCAGCTATAGTTGTAATATTAGAAGTTGTAGAACTTAGTGGAGTTTGATGTATTTCAGATATACTTGTAGGTTCGGTGCAGCCTGCTGCCACGTGTCCTGGTTTCTTACATTTAAACCAGACGTTCCCATCTTGTGAAAAGAATACTGTGTAGTTTGTGTTTTCGAATGATATTGTTATGACGCTGGCGATGGTTAAATTATGATGGCTAACATATACTTGCCGTCTAAAGCTTAGGATATGGCTATAATCAGGAAGATTTGCACCAATTTTTAGAAATGTTATGGGAGATACGGAATTGATGTTGCAGCAATTCAAGAAATTAGATGGGCAGGTCAAGGAGAAATAAATAAAAAAATTACACATTACACTACTCTGGGCACGAAAAACAAGGTCAATATGGAGTTGCATTTATAACTACAGGAAAAATACAAAATAATATTATGCAATTTAAACCAATAAATGAGCGCATGGCATACCTGAGAATTAACGCCAAACCATTTAATATATCCATCATAAACGTATATGCACCAACTAAAAGTGCTGTAGCAGAGGAAAAAGATAACATCTATGAGAAACTGGAACAAGAAATTGAATATTTACCCAAAGAAGACACAATTCTGGTAATGAGAGATTTTAACGCTCAGATAGGCAAAGAAGACTACATTAACCAAGTTGCAGGTAAATATACATTACATGAAAAAACAAATAATAATGGTCAGAGATTATGCAACTTAGCAACTAGCACCAATATGATTGTCAGTAGTACAAAATTTGCACACCTTGTATACCACAAAGTAACATGGGTCTCACCAGACCAAAAAACATGGTCCCAAATAGACCATATACTCATCACAAAGAGAAAGCAAACATCGATAACAGACGTGAGAACATACAGAGGTGCACATGCAGACACAGACCATTTCATGGTTACCGCAACGTTAAGGCAAAAAGTTAAAAGACAAGAAAACAAGACAACAAAGGACAAATGGTACATAGAAAAATTAAATGCTACAGATAGAAGAATTAAATATGCAGAAGATATAAGCAAAGAACTGAAGGAATACTGTGAACATACAGAGGATGTCGAAACAGAATGGAGCAATATAAAAAAATGTATAAATGAAACAGCTTCTGAACATGTAGGGATAGAAAGAAAGAACAAAAAAGAAGAATGGTATAATCAAGACTGTCATAACATGTTAAAAAAGAAGATAGAAATAAGACAAATGTGGATCAGAACAAATAGACAAGAATATAAAGAAGAATACAACAAATTAAGAACAGAATGTAAGAAACAAATGAGAAGAATTAAACGAACCTGGTTAAATGATAAGATAAATGAAATAGAAAAAGAAAACACAAATAGAAACACAAAAGCATTTTATAAGAAAATTAGCGAGCAGAACAAAACCTTCAAAGGAAAGATAAAAGGCATAAAGGATAGAAATGGAAAAGTATTAGATAATGACAAAGAGTTTAAAGAAATCTGGACTGATTATTTTAAAGAATTATTAACAGTACAAGAGGACGAAGACTTAAATGAAAATGTGGAAGAAGAGACCACGATGATAGAAACCGAGCTAGAAAAACCAACGAGAGATGAAGTTGAGGAAATTATAAACAGTAGTCGCAACGGTAAAGCACCAGGTATAGACAGTATAAACATGGAACTAATAAAATATGGTGGACATGAACTCAGAGAAAAATATACCAATTAAATAAAAGTCATATGGGACGAAGAAAAAATGCCAGAAGAATGGCACAAAGGACAAATAATCACAATCCATAAAAAAGGAGACCAACAAATGTGTAATAATTATAGAGGACTGACATTATTAAACACAGCGTATAAAATCATGTCAACCTTAATACAACGAAGACCGGCCAAAGCGACCACAAATATCATGGGACAGTATCAATGCCGATTTATTAGGGGAAAGTCAACAACAGATGCCATACATACGGTAAAGCAAATTATGGAGAAAGCTTATGGATACAAAATAGAAATTGAACTGCTTTTTATAGACTTCCAACAAGCATTTAATTCAATAAACAGAGCGAAATTACTTACAGCTATGAGAGAAATGAAAATACACAACAAATTAAGACGATTAATAAAAATGACAATGAGCAAAACCGTACTAACTGTAAAAACACAAGAAGGAGACACAGAAGAATTTGTTATAAATAAAGGTGTACGTCAAGGAGATTCATTATCTGCAACTCTGTTTAATCTTGCCCTGGAATATGTAGTCAGGAAAATCAACAAAGGTACACTTAGAACGAGAGAGAGACAAATAATAGCATATGCCGACGATATTGTGATAATAACAAAGAACAGAAAAAAAATGGAAAGTATGTTAAAAGAATTGGTAGCAGAAGGGAAAGTAATGGGATTAGTAATAAATCAAGAAAAAACAAAAATAATGAGATTTGACAAAAAATATGAAAACAAAAAGGTTAGACTGGTGTCACCTCGGGGGAACACATAGCGGTCTAAACTCCTTCTATTGCCTCCGGGTGCTCTGTAGAGGGCTTCGGAGACGTCAACGAAAGCACCTCTACCTAAGTCCACTTTCAGGTTATGGACTTGTAAAAGTTTTCTCATCTGATGACTCGTCTTGAGAAAGACGAGTTATTTTTACACGACGAAGATTCTCCGTTAAAATAAACCATCAGGTTGTCTTCTTTGGTGACTTGCCTTGAAGAAGGCAAGTTATTTCTTACATGAACAATATTAAGTTAAAATAAAGTCGAAATAAAACACCAAATTGTAGTAGAATAAATATTCAGCCACAGAGTATGGAAAGCTAAAAGGAAGCAGAGCCCCGAGAGCACTAAGCTCTCGGAGAGCCTGAAAACCCTGTTGCTCATTTTGTGGACTTGAAGGCCATTTAGTGTCCAATTGTTTCAGAAAATACAATAATTATAGAGGTAACAGCAGTGGAGGTAGATTTTTTCGTGGAAATAACTATTCCCGTGGTAGAAGAACTGGTAATAATACACAAAGTAAGCATAATGTCCATGCCAAAGTAGCTGAAGATGAAGTAAGTTTTATCACAGTCCTATCAGCTGAAGATCTCAAGAATGATGACAACCATATTTCATTTATAATAGATTCCGGAGCATCACAAAATATGTGCAGTGGTAAATATGAACAATTTATAAGTAACATTGTTGAAATTGAGCCTGTTGGCATTAAAATAGCAGATGGAAGGGTAATGAATTCTTGTAAAAAAGGTATGTTAAAAGTTTATTACAATGAAATTCCTATCAACATTGATGTACATATATTAAATAACCTAGAATATAATCTATTATCAGTTAGTAAACTAAACAATTTGGGTTTCACCGAAAATAAGGCTGAAATAAGAAAAAAGAACTTCAAACTTATTTGTTGTAAACACAAAAGTAATTTATTTGTTGCAAATTTTCATTTAAATAAAGTGTAATCTAGTTTAGTAGCAAAGCATAGTAATAAAAACTTATGATACTTACGGTTAGGACATGTAAATAGAAGGGGACTTCAATTGTTGGGACTACCCTATTCTGAAGAGCTGTGTGATTCATGTCTACAAGGAAAAGCCACAAGGCAACCTTTTAAAGAAGTTTTGTACAGAAAATGCGAGAGTGAGTCGCATCTTATTAATCACATTGAAAAATTAGCAGCAGAAGGAAGGAGAGTATCTAGAATAAGAATGGATGTGGGAGGAGAGATGTCATCTAAAATTTTTAAAAACTATTGTGTACAACATGGTATATTGCAAGAATTTACAGCTGGTTACACACCTCAGCAGAATAGTATAGCAGAACGATTTAATCGTACTATTTTAGACAAGGTAAGAGCCATGTTTGTTGAAACAAATCTTCCTAAGAGTCTGTGAGGAGAAGCAGTTAGAACAGCTATTTATTAACTCAACCGAACCCCATCACGAGCAATTTAACTTCAAGTACCAGCAGAAATATACTTGAACAGGCTTGACTTGTCTAAACTTAGAGTTTTTGGTTCAAAAGTATGGTACTACAACCTACCAAAGAAAAGTAAATTAGAACCAAGGGCAAGTAAAGGTATAATGGTCGGCTACAGTGGCGCCGGCTATAGAATCTGGAATCCACTGACTAATCAAATTAAAATTTCAAGAGATGTGGTTTTCGATGAATCACAATATAAATATTCTCTAGAAATATTGTCTAATAATTAAAATACTGAGGAAATTTTACCAAGCCAAGATGAATTGGAAATATTGGAAGAGACAAATTATGAAGATAGTAGAGTCAAAACATTAAGGAATATCACTGAAAGTAATTCACAAGATGAAGAACCAGTAAATGTACAAAATACTAAAACTAGTTTCTCTAATAGAGAAATAAAATCACCTTCGAAGCTCAAAGACTATGAACTTTATTATGCATTTTGTTTAGTTACATCAACCCCAGTAACTTTTGAAGAAGCAGTGGAGAGTGATGAATGGAAGCAGGCAATCGAAACAGAACTTGAAAAAATGGACACCTGGACTGAAGCCACAAAGGTACCTAATAATCAACAAATCATAAATACAAAATGGGTATTTAAAACAAAAAGTGATGGCACGAAAAAAGCTCGCTTAGTCGCTAAGGGATATGAAGAAGAAGTATTTTTAGATATATATTCACCTGTAGCAAAAATGGCAAGTGTTAAAATTTTATTGTCACTAGCTCTCAATAACGACTGGAAGGTATACCAGTTAGACATTCCTTCAGCATTTATTAACGGAGTGCTACAACATGAAGTTTATATTCATTGTCCTAAGGGATACACAGGACAGAGCAAAGTTCTGAAACTGCAAAAGGCTTTGTATGGACTGAGGAAATCGCCTAAATGCTGGAACCAACGATTCGACAAATGGGCAATCAAAATTGGGTTTAGAAGTGCCGAAAGTGACTGTTGTGTTTACACAATGAAAAATGTGTGTATGTGTATATGGGTCGATGATATCCTATTGTGTGGTGAAGATAGCAATTC